GAGGTGGCCCACTTGTAGGCCATTGACACTTTCTCCTCTGGGGGGGGAGGGGGGGGGGGGGTTGCAATCTGATAATGTTTCATGTTACACCAGGGGTGGCCAAACGCTGGCCCTCCAGCTGTGGTGCAACTACAAATCCCATGAGGCATTGCAAGACTCCAACAGCCGCAGGTATGACTCCCAGAGGCAGATGCGTGATGGGATTTGCCCACCCCTGTGTTACACCCTGAACATCCTGGTCAGAAAGTTTAACTGAGCCTAGCTTTGTAATCATTAATTCATCAGTAAACATATTTGTAATGCAGTACAAGTACCTGAATTTGACCTGCTATCAGTCTCTGGCAGTCCCTGTACAGAAGGGCTGAAGTGTGAGAGGAAGAAGCACTACAGTAAACCAATCAATCATATGCTGGCAAGAAGCGTGCTGACAGACAGAGAAAGCAGAGTGACAAAGAGATGAGCTCAACACTGTGCTGCTTCTCCTTTCACTGTCCAGTCACAGGCTGGGGCAGAGGGGTTCAGGATGACCTGGGCTCAGAGGAAGTGGGTTGAATGATGCTGGCCATCAGACTGAGGACATCTAGTGGAAGAAACAAAGTACTACAGGGTAAATCTGTGGATTGAAAGTGAATATTGCAGCAAAATCTGGTTTCGTTATGCTATATTTTAAAGGGTTATACATTTTTATCTTGTCATTTGTGGCTGGAGTTTTGCTTTAGGCATAACACAAGAGGAAATATGGTAAAAACATGTATTATAGCCCAGGGTTTAACTTAATAGGTGTAAATTATGTAAGTGTCTGCTTATCTATGGCCACCTTAATTTCTGAAAGATTGTAAACCATATTTTACAGCTCTAAGCAATAAACTATTCTTAATGTCCAGGTATATACAATCAGGCCATTTACCTGCTATTTTGTTGTATTCTGTTTGTTTTGCACCATATTGTATGCTGATTTTGAGCCTAGTAAAGAAACAACAGGATTATATGGAACTGTTACTTTGTGTGATGCATCGGTTTAATTACAGACCTCCTGTCTATATGAACTTATGTAGGGGCATCCCTACACTTTTCGCCGCCTAGGTGGTGGTGGGGTTTAGGTTTACGTTACGAGGGGAGGGTGGTGGGTGCATGGTACCCCTGTCTGTTGTCCAGTCCTGCTCACTGATGTCACTGTTTGCCAGGTACTAGGTGGGATTCCAGCTAGAGCATCCCACTCAGCTCCTGGCAACCGGTGATGTCAGTGAGCTGGGGGGAACGCCGGCCAGAGCATCATAGGTTGCAAAGAGCTCTTAGCAACCTGGGACTCCCTGCCTGGAAAGGGAGCAGGAGGCACACCTTCTGTCCCCCCAACGTGACCTGATGAGATGCCGCCTGAGCTTATGTGACCAAAGCATATGACACTGACCAGTAATATATATTCAGTAGATTTACATGGCTCCACCCCCACTACCCCAAAATTAAGAATAATCCCCCTATTTTAGGGACATGTGATGGAATGAGACACGTGAATACCTTCTATTGTAAGAAGGCTCTATTTTACAATATGCTGTTTTAGTGGATAGCAGCTTGGTTCCCTTTGGCCTGTTTCACCATAACTTGTTATATACTATCTCATTGGTCTTGGAGCTGGCTTCCCAGACAATCAGGAAGTCAGGGTCGGGTAATGACTCACCGCCCTGCTTCTTGATTGGTCGGGAAGCTGGCCAATCAGGAAGCCTAGCGGCGAGTCAAAGAATGGCTAACCATATTTTGTAAGACGCAACATCTGGCTGAATCCCTCTGACCTCATAGAAAATTGAGGTTGCTTCCATAGATCCACGCAGCATGAATTTGCATAGTGCAAATTGTGCAAAAGAACAGAACATTTTTATACAGCCTGCTGATGTCATTTTCAAGGTCCTTTTACTGTAAAAGAAGAGGACGAACAACGTTTACAACACACATGGGGCCATGTCTGAGGAGAACAGGCCGCATAGTGTTTATTACTTAACACAAAATGAGAACGTAACCCCAAAAACAAAGCCAATTTAATTGTAAAATTCAAATTGTATTACAGAGTCTAAAGTATAAGTGAACCTTTAAAAAGTTTCCAACAGACTTGAGACGCTAACCTGGTGAATTGTATTTGGATCTCTCAAAAAATAAATGTATAAGTCAAGATGCTACCATTAAACCAACCAAAACAATGGACATTTCAAGAACCCATAAGTGCCTCAAGCACAATGAAAGAAGAACTGCAAGAATTGCCATTAGAAATCATGGGGCCCCATACAGCCTACATGGCTAGCTCCCCGCCTACTAATGGCATGCTGGTACTTGTGGTCCCCCCACAGTCTGACACTGTTATTATACATTTATACAGCTCTGATATATACCACAGTGCTGTACAGAAAACACTGAGCCAGTTACATTAGTTTCTGTACAGAGGAGCTTACACTCTAATGCCGAATGGCACCAGCAATGGGGGGGACTACAAATCCCAGCAATACATTGTACAGCAATGCAGAACAGTACATGAATTGGACTCAGGACTTAGTAACGCACTGAACTCAGGACTTAATAACACACTGGACTCTGGACTTAATAACACACTGGACTCTGGACTTAGTAACGCACTGGTCTCAGGACTTAGTAACACACTAGACTCTGGACTTAGTAACGCACTGGTCTCAGGACTTAGTAACACACTGGACTCTGGACTTAGTAACGCACTGGGCTCAGGAATTAGTAACGCACAAGTCTCAGGTCTTAGTAACGCACTGGACTCTGGACTTAGTAATACACGGGATTCTGGACCCTCCTGAGGCCCCGCAGAGCCCACCTGAGATCCTGGAGAGCCCATCTGAGATCCCACACAGCCCACAGGAGATTTACCCTGCAGAGCCCACCATATATCCTGCACAGCTCATCTGATACTCTCTATGGTTGGCTCTGCAGGGTCTTAGGTGGGTTGGTCGGGGTCCCTACACACTGGACTCTGGACTTAGTAACGCACTGGGCTCAGGAATTAGTAACGCACAAGTCTCAGGTCTTAGTAACGCACTGGACTCTGGACTTAGTAATACACGGGATTCTGGACCCTCCTGAGGCCCCGCAGAGCCCACCTGAGATCCTGGAGAGCCCATCTGAGATCCCACACAGCCCACAGGAGATTTACCCTGCAGAGCCCACCATATATCCTGCACAGCTCATCTGATACTCTCTATGGTTGGCTCTGCAGGGTCTTAGGTGGGTTGGTCGGGGTCCCTTTCCCTGCACATGCAGCTCCTTACCTGCCGCTGCTGGGGCCTGGCCTCTCCTGCTGCTGGACCGGTGCTGCTGGGGCTCGGCCTTCTTCAGCTCCACCTCCTCTGCTGTCAGCGGGCTGGGGGGGCCCCAGCCCCTTACATGGGTATCAGCCCTACCCCCCTGATGGCAGCCCTGATTAGGGGTTTCCCAACACTTTATGCCACCTGAGGTGAGGGGGTGTGGTTGGTGGTAATCACAGTAACAGTGCTGTTGTCCATTGTTGTCACATAACGGACCATACTGTGTTTTCCAATTTTTTTTTCAAACATGTAAAGAAACCTCTGTCTACAATTTCACAACCAAATTGCACACCCACAACTACAAGTTTTCTTCTTTACTGTCAGCTTCCCTGTCCACATAATGATGCTGGTTCCTCTCTGGGTTTTTCAAACATTGTTGCTTCCCTACTGACTTAAAGCGACACTAAACCCTGGAGATAAATCTTAAAAATGCCTTCAAGTACCTTAACTATTAACAGAAATGTATCTTATTTGTGTATCCAGCTGTGGATCATCAAATCATCTTTGAATTGGTGCTGACACTCAGTGGCATCACAAGGGGGGTACAGGGGGTGCAGGTCGCACCCGGGTGACACCATTGCAGAGGTGACACCAAAATGACTAACAGTCATTTTGGTGTCACCCCCTCTAAAAGGTCAGCCACTCGGTCATGGACCGAGAGCCCGACAGTGTCAGGAGAGAGGAGG